TTTGATTCTCCCAGAAGGAGAGGGAGAGAAGCATAGAGAATGTGCCCAACAGGTTTGGGGGTCAGGAGGTCATTCCAGCCTAAGACTTGGGGGGGGGGGGGGGGGGGGGGGGGGACCCCACAATTAGAAACACCGGACCTTATCCCAGCCTTTATCCCAAGTATCTGGAGAAGCTCTTGGTACCTTCACCTATCACTAACACTAGGCTAGTGCACAGGAGTTTTGTTTTATGATTTGGAAATGACCCCGCTGTGTAAATGAAGCCTGACACCTCCGTATTCAAAGCATTGAATCTTGATGCTATTTTAAGTATGTTCTCTGATGTCAGAATGACCCTGAAGTTTCAGACTGACAGGCAGCAAAGAGAGAACAGCTTATGGGCTAGCAGGTTACACGGTCTGTGGGCACTGGGCTGTGGAGCGAGCTCCACTGCCTTGGGGGTGGTTACAGAACAACTCTTCTGCAGGAGGCCAAGTCAGTGAATATTGGCCAAGCTCTAGAAAGCAGTAGGTAAAGTCACGTGGTTTGAAGCTAAAACAATGCTTCCACATTCTCCTCAACACTTAGTGCTGGCTGATGTTCACAAGCAAACTCAACTGATGGTGCTGCACTCAAGGGACAAACAGCGAAATGAGATGACCCGCTGACGGACCATTGGAGTGTTGTCTGCTTTGTTCCAGTAGCATGTCACACCTGTGAAAACAAAGATGCTCTTAGCTTCTTTGTTTCTTGCCTCTTTTTGCACAGATGTTTTAAAAATTAGTTTAGAATTGTGTGTGTTGAGGGAGAAAGGCAGATTATGTTCTAGAGGGGTTTACTCTGACTTTAGCTTTCTAAGGCCATTTTAGGTCATGTATGGTTTCTGGGTCTGCTGCACAATCAAAGTCCCTGTTTTATGGTTGCAGAAGGCTTAAGAAGGATTAATTTTTAATTGCACTAGTCTCTTAAGCATCCTCAGTTGTTCAAGGCTCCTGATCTTTTTGTGTTCCTCATCTGTATTAGTTGTTGGAGCCTTGTTTTTATAGCTCAGCCAACTGCATTTGTGTGACTGGGGGCATTTTGCTGCTGGTACCATGGGATTCCCTTTTAGCAAAATCCATGATGCCCTTCAGCTGAGCAGGATGTAATGAAGGGATCACTGGGAACAAGACAAGAGAGGAAGCTACAACTTTTCCCTTTATATAAAGGCACCACAAACCATATTACTGCCTGTTGATAGGTAGAAGGCTAAATTTAGGGGTTAGCTTTGTGACCCCAAATGCCATTAATCTTCCCCAGGAAACTTGCTGCCTTTTACTGTCTGGGCTGAAATAGTGGCTGCTTTGGCAGAACTCAGCTACTCTCCTCCTGCTTTTGCCTAGATGCAGTGCTCAATATCAGGAGAGCAATTGATTTACTTTTCTAATTACAGTACAACACTGGGTATAAACAGCAGCTGGGAAACCTGAGCTGTACTGATTGTAAACAGACCAGCAGAAATAAAACAAATTCTTCCTGTTCATGCTGCCACAACCTGGGCAGTGTCATAGAGGCCCACTGTTGGGGTGGCAGGCAGGGGCCATCACAGCAGTTCCTGGCACATCTGGCACCCTGGGGCTGTGCACTGCTACTAGGGAAGACCAGAAGAGGCCGTATGAGAAGGTAGAAAAGGGTATTTAATTGGAGGGTCTTACCAACAGGCTTTCTCCACCTAGCCTTTGGGTGGCTTGTGCTTGTCCTTGACAAGAGCCAGTATAGCCTTCTGGTGCAGTAATGCTTGGCAGAATGAACTTCCTACTTTCTGGTAGTGTGGCTATAGTTTGTAAAGGGGTACTTCTGCTGTTGCTTTGTTCAAGTTGCTCCTACACACCTCTGTTAGGATGAGCTGTACAGACAAGGTTTCAGACTTGGCCCAGAAACTGCTGTGACAGTTTAAGTTGCTGCTTTTCTGTTGGGCAGCACTGGCAAAATGATTGGGTGGGCACTTCTCATCCTTATCTGTGGAGTGCTTAATGGTTTCCTTCTCTCTTGCTGTCATAGCTAGTTGGACTCTGATCTCCTGAAGCTCCAAGAGTGTCTATCCGCTCTGCTGTGCTCTGCTCCAGTGGGCAGCAATGAGTGCCTGAGGAGCAAAACACCTGGATTGTCCTTGTGCTTTTTCCCAGAGTGTGTCTGGGGTTGAACTTTTTTCCTTCAGATTGCCAGAGTAGCCCTCAGAGATGTTTCCTGGGCAAGTAGGTATCTACAGCAGTTGAGTTATTTCAGCATGCCCCAGGAGAGGTTGTCTAGCAGTAGAACCTGGAAGAGAGGGCAGACTCTGTTAAGAAACAAAACTGTTCTAGCTGTACTTGCATGAAGAATGCTTTACCAGTATAGCAGATTATGTTCTGTGACTGGGTAGGTATAGCCAAGGCTTCAACTGGAAGGGCAGGACAGGCAAAACATCTGTAACAAGTCAGGTCTTATTCTGGCCACATCTACGCTACACCTAGGGAACCTTTTAGGGAAGCCTAACAGGGAACCTGGGGAAAAAAGGAGAGCCAGTCATGCAGTAACTGTGTTGCTTTAGCACTTCTCTGCTTTATGCTGTGCTGGGAGTCTGTGCAGTTGCACAAAGAACCAGATGCTGTAAAGTAATTTTGGGTGAAGGTCAACTCTGGCTCAGGTCAGCATGTGGTTGTGCAAGTGCTTTTGCCAAAGAAGGGTCGGGGGCCATGTAATCTGGTAATGCTGCCAGAAGAAGCATTCTGGCAATCTTGAATCGCTTAGAGGAGCAAGATAGTTCTGAGCTGGAGCTACTCCATTGTCTGCAGCAAAGACTGCTGCTGGCCTGAATGCATGAGGTTCTACTCTGCGAAGAAAAGGGAATGATTTGGGACTGACCAGTAGGAAGTAAAATGCTGGTGCCCTTTTAGTCATCTGTTAGTGGTGAGCTTCCAGTACCAGTTGCACTCTGTTACACCATCATGTAACTATTGGCAAAACAGCTATGTTTGGGCATGCAAATGTGACAAGCTGGAGCACTTGCATCTGACCTTTTAGGAAACTATGTGGTGGGAGTGTTTTTACATTGCATAATATGCTCCTGTCCTGGCTGGATATCCAGCAGCTTAGGCCAGTCTGAGCCTACAGCAGTTACTCAGCTTTTGGTAGCACCATAAATAACGTCAGGAACTGATTAAGGCAAGATATACCCCAGTTCCACCCCCCCACCCCTCCCCGTCCCAAACAAAGCAGTTTGTCCTGGTTATTTTTCAGATAGGCAGTTCCCTACTGCAAGTCCATTTTGCAGTCATGCAGAGCACGTGGTGGCAAACAGCAGCTGGTGTAACGGCTGGGATGAGTGGTCAGGGATTGGTCCTGCTCCTGTGACCATCATGACACTATTCAATTTGTGCTGGACTTACTGTACTGTGGGGCAGGAGGCAAATGAGGTTACTCTTGTGCCTTCTGGAGATCCTGCCCTGATTCATACTGTAGAAAGCAGTCTGGTTAACAGCTTCAGTGTAGGTTCAATAGTTTGTCTATTTAACATTACTTTATCCTGTGTTAGCAGCTTTTCATGTTCCTCCTTTCAGCACCCAATCACAGCATATTGGTTATGGATACAAATTCTGTGGCAGTTTTTTTGCCTCTGATACTGCCTCTTTCCATCTGTCTCCTCCCTTTCAACATGGACTTAGCTATGCTAGCAAGAGGCCTGGTCCTTCTTACTTGTCTTAAGGCAATTGATCTTTATATCTAAAAAGAAAAAGCTCAGTCAAGGTTTAATTCCCTGAAAAGTGTGCTGATACTTGTATTAAGGCATGAGCTGTACCTGTGGCATTAAGTTAGGGCTTGTGGCTTTACCCAGGTAGGAGTAAAAATATTTGCCTAGTGAGGGTGGCCAAACACTGGGATACGGATCCAGAGCGATGGTAGGATCACCATCCTTGGATCTTCAGAGCCCAACTGGACAAAGCCCTGGGCAAGCTCACCTAAGTAACTTTGAGCTAGGGGTAAGACAAAGTGATCTCCAGAGGACCCTTCCCAATCTCCAGTGTTCTAGGATTTTGTGCTTCTATTCTAGTGGGTCCTGGAAGGCGCAAGTATGCATCTCCCATGTGGTCTGTTCAAAGACCATGGTTTTGGCATGATGTGGTCTGTTCAGACAACAGTTTTAGTAGAGTGCCCTTCTGACAAACTGGAACACTGTTCCTGGCTGGGTATTACATTTAGAGTTGGACTGTTCAGAACTGAAATCCTAGAGATTTTTTTAAGACCTACTGCATCCCACAAGCTCAGCTGCCTGACTAATCCTATTTTCTAAGCAGAGACGCATGTGGAGGGAAGTGCTAGATTCAGTATATTTCCTGCTTCCTGAGTCAAAACTGCAAAAGACTTTGCCATTCAGGGCCAGCCTTGTGAAAGTGTCTAGCCACTCTGCAAGATTGTTGCAGTGTTTCTCAGCATCTCTGGATATATAAATGGAAACATGGCAGTTAGATTCTTAAAGTACTTCAGATAATGCATTCCTAACATCTGCATCTAACAAATTTTATGGCTTCTTTCCATTTTTGTAGGAAAAAACGCCAGCCTGGTCCAGACACTGAAACTTGTCAACTAATGGGAACAAAGAGCTGAGACACTTGGCTGTTCTGGGACCCTAAAACATAGGGTTTAGCCAAGCAGAGTTCCCGCAACGTGGAGGCTTGCACCTGTCCAACCTTGTAGCATTCTTGGGAGGCTTTTCTATGTCTTTTCCCATCTCCAGCCTTTCACACATCATGGTGTTTCTTTTGACTTTTGTTGCAAGCTAGCTCTGGCTCTGCCTTCAGCTTCCCGTCTGCTTTGGTTTGGGTTATCAGTGTGTGAGCTGCTGGCTGTAGACTGTGTTTCTGTATTTCTGCCTCAAGCTTCTGCTTGGAGGGCATCTCTTGAATGTTTTAACTGACCTGCTTTTTCTTTCTCTTTTACTGTATCTCTGTCACTCTCTCCAATCTGTCTTGCGTTCTCCATTCTTCTCACCTCCATTACTGCAGGTTCATCATGCCTAGTGGCATATAAAAAGACTCCACCTCCTGTTCCACCTCGGACCACATCAAAGCCGTTCATCTCTGTCACTGTGCAGAGCAGCACTGAATCGGCTCAGGACAACTACCTGGACAGCCAGGACCACAAGAGCGAGGTGACCAGCCAGTCAGGACTGAGCAATTCTTCAGACAGCTTGGACAGCACCAGGACACCCAGCGTGACGAGAGGCAGTGTTGTGACTCCAGCTAGAGAGACTCCAGAGTTATCCCAGAAAAATGCAACTTTGAAAAGTGACAAAGGGACTCTGACTAGTGAAGAGCCTAAAGTGGAGAACATTCCCAAAAGAAAGCTGTCATCCATAGGAATACAAGTATGGAATAGTTTGTTCTCCTTTTGTGTTTTAAGGAATGTCCTTAATCCATCTATTTAGCGTGTGCATTGTGTGTAGCCAAATGTGCCTCTGAACCCACTCAAAATACCAAAAGAAATTAAATGGCTTGTAGAACCAACTTACCGTGTACCCAGAGGTGAAGTACAGCAAAATTTTCTTATAACAGACCACAAAGGAATAAATTACTTTAACTTCATACTGAAGTATTTCATAACCCAGTTGGAAACCTAACTGGGTGAGCCTCTTTAAAGAGGCTTTTTGCTGCAAGCATGCATGTGCTGATACTGTGATCTTTACTGTGTGTTATTTAAAGTTAACCTGCTCCATGTCCATCATGGTTCTAGGGACAATTTTCTTCTGATGCAAATTCTTCTACTTAAGATCTGTGTGTATTTAGGGCTTACATATTGTTAAACAACTTACGATCCTGTAGGAGGGAAGGAGCGCTGCCTCAGTGTCCACCTTTCCCCTTTGTTGGCTGTCTGTGCCAACAGGTTGCTGCTTCTCTTGCTGGAAGTTTTTTTTGACTCTGTGCAAATCAATGGAAAAGAGCTGTTGATTATGCACTCAAATGAGAGGCAATTGATGAATAGAGTAAATCCATGCTTTATTTGGCAAACTTATCTGCAATTGTCCATCTTCTTGTGTGAACAGATTTCTCAGCTATAGATGGCTAGCTACTAGAAGCATCAGTTCTGTCCCAAAGTACTTGTTCAGTGCTGCAGGTTACAACCTGCAAATAGAAACTTCAGCATTTTGGCAGTCTGCATGCAGAATCTGTGCTTTGTGGCCACCATGTGCATGCACTGATGCAGTGCTGTCACAGACACCCTTTCAGCTGCTGTGTCCCTGTTCTAGTAACTCTTTCACCCTCAGGTTCATACACTTGCTACAGTCAGTTTAAAATTTTCTGTGTCTGAGCTGGGGTCAGTCCATGATCTCACATCTTGTCTGTAGTTGAGTGCCAGCACTCATTGTCCCTCCTTGATGCTAAAGCTCTGTAGTAAGTTCTCCTTGTCTTTTCAGCAAGGTTAGCTGGCCAGTTAGGGTACATGTTACAGTGAAGATTACTCTCCACAACTAGTGGATTCAACACATACTGAAGGGTTGTAGGCAAGAGAACTCTTATGACTAACTTAGTCTCTTCCTCCCCTCTTTTTTTCTCCCAAGACTGTTTCTAAGCCATCTGTCTCACTGCCTGGATTTCCTTCCTAAAACCTTCTAACCCTCTTATCCAGGGCTATGGAGGGTGTCATTCCCTGAGAGAAAGGAGACTGGGCTTTGCTGTCTATCTAATCAGATTGCTGCCCTCTTTTGAAGCTCTTAGTCTTTGCCTGGGTTGTATGCTACATGCACAGCTGCTCCCTCAGGAATATACAGCCCTTCTCAGCATGTTGCTGCCTACAACAGTGGCAGATGGCAGAGCTCAATAGTCTTCAGAGCAGATGCCTGACAGGAGCCAGGCCTAATACAGTTCTGATACACACGTGGAGGCCAACTTGAGTAGTAGCCTTGTGCCTCTCCTAAAATGGCCCTCCAGTTGGCATGTAGCGTCAGCATGCTGTTTGTTTGTGCAGTGCTCCTCCTGGTTGACTAACGTGAATTCCAGCAGCAAGTTCTTGTGTCCGTTTTTTGTCTGTATTTTTTTTCTTGTTTAATAAGGTTGACTGCCTTCAGCCAGTGCCAAAAGAGGAGCCTCCTCCACCAGCCACCAAATTCCAGTCCATCGGGGTACAGGTAGAGGACGAGTGGCGGTAAGTGAAAGATGCAGGCTTTTGTAATTCTTACTCCTTTCTTTTTAACTGTGCCTCCCACGCTTTCACTTAGACCTTCTTCTCCCTGTCTTTGTTTCAATATATGATGTTGAATGCGGGGGGG